TCCCCCATTTTTCCCAATTTTTCCCATTTTCCAGGTTTTCCTGATCAATCTCCGGCGCCGCTCCGACCGTCGGACGCGAATGCTGCGAACGCTGCGGGAACTGGGGATCGACCCCAAACTGGTGGAGGCCGTGGATGGACGGTGGGAATTTGGGGGAAAATTCCCAAATTTTGGGAAAATTTGGGAAAATTTAAAAAAAACATGGAAAAAATTGGGTGAAATTTGGGCATTTTTTGGCCGTTTTTTGATTTTTTGGGGAATTTTTTTTGGGATTTTTGGGACTGGGAATTGACCCCAAACTGGATGGACGATGGGAATTTGGGGAAAAAATTTAGAATTTTGGGAAAATTTAGGAATTTTGGGAATTTTAGGAAAAATTTGGGAAAAAATTTGGTGAATTTTGAGCAATTTTGGGGGTTTTTAAGGGGATTTTGGGGGATTTTTGGGAACTGGGAATCGACCCCAAACTGGTGGAGGCTGTGGATGGACGGTGGGGATTTGGGGAAAAATTCCCCAATTTTGGGAAAATTTGGAAATTTTTGGGAAAATTCAAAAATTTTGGGAAAAATTTAAAAAAAGTGCAAAAATTTGGGTGAAATTTGAGCGATTTTTGGGGGTGTTTTTCAGTGATTTTGGGGGATTTTTGGGGTGAATTTTGGGGTGAATTTTGGGATGAACTTTGGAAATTTTGGGAGTTTTGGGGTCAATTTTCCGGGTAAATTCCCGGGATTTTGGGGTTTAATTTTTGGGAATTTTGGGGTCAATTTTAGGGTGAATTTTTCGGCTTTTTTTGCGTTTTCTTGGTGAATTTTGGGGATTTTTGGGGTCCATTTTTGGGGTCCATTTTTAGGGTCAATTTTTTGGATTTTTTGGTAAATTTTTGGGGTGAATATTGGAAATTTTGAGGTGATTTTTGGGGTGCATTTTGGTAATTTTGGGGTGATCTTTGGGGTGAATTTTGGAATTTTTGAGGTGAATTTTGGGGTGACTTTTGGGTCTTTTTGGGGCGAATTCCTCCGAATTTTGGGGTTTTTTTGGTCAATTTTTGGGATAAATTCTCCGGATTTTTTTGGGGTGAATTCCTGGGAATTTTGGGATAACTTTTTTTTAATTTTTGGGTTAAATTTTTTAAATTTTGGCTCAGATCTCTGAACAGGAGCCAGCTGGAGGCGCTGGGGGTGCGGATGCTGCCGGGATATCGCGATCCCTTCCACGGCCGAGCGCTGACCCCGGGAGAGGTCGGCTGCTTCCTCAGCCACTTCCGGGTCTGGCAGGAGGTAAAAACGGGAATTTTGGGAAAATTCAGGAATTTCGAGAAAATTAAAAAAAAAAATGGAAAAATTTGGGTGAAATTTGGG